CATTTTAGGCGTTATCCAGAGTTACAAAAATAAATATCATAAGTTATGACATAAGTTATTAAGTAAATAACATAAGTTTTTATGACTTATAAAATGAATAACTTAAGCTGTCATTTATTATGACATAATTTATGAGTTAAAAAAATAAATAACTTAAGTTATCATGAGTTATAAAAATAAATAGCTTAAGTTATTATTTATTATGACATAAGTTATGAGTTGAGAAAATAAACAACTCAAGTTTTCATGAGTTATACAAAATAAATAACTTAAGTTATCATTTATTATGACATAAATTATGAGTTAACAAAAATAAATCTCATAAGTTATTAAAATAAATGTGAGCCACAAATAAACATTTAACATTCTCCCGTTTGACTCACTTAATTTTAATAGTGCATAATATACCGCACAAAATGTAAGATAAATACATCTTTATATTGGTTAAATCAAATTATTTATTAAGTATAAAATTAATATGAATCGTGACGGTTGTGCATAAATTTATCGACACAATCACTTCCATGTATCACAATATCAATTATATACTTAGCATAATGAAAATTAACATCATGGTCTCATAATGTCTATTAAAAGATAAATCCTGTTGAACATCATGTAACATAAAGTGTACATTAACGATAAAAACAAGATTTATAAATATGAGAAACAAGAAAATTGAGCATAAAGTGTCAAAATACAGAAAACATAAAACTAATAAAGGGTTTTGGTAATGCCCATTCTCACGATATGTTTGTTAAATGTCTTCGGTGGCAACCCTTTCGTTAAAAGACCTGCAATCATGAGATTGATGCTAATATGCTTAATTGACACCCTATGTTTCTGAACTTGTTCTTTACGGCAAGATATTTTAATTCCATGTGTTTAACACCTTTGGAATACTTGTCGTTTTTGAAAAAGAAGACTGCTGAGAGTTATCATAATAAATTTTCAGCAGCTTGGTAATACTGTCGAAAATTCCAAGTCCTGAAATAAAATTAGGTAATACTGTCGACAATTCTAAGTCCTGAAATAAAATTCCGCAGCTATAAATCCTGAATTGTAGCTTCGAAGCAAGCCACAAATTCAGCTTCTATAGTGAAAGCAGCTGTGATAGTCTGCTTCGCACTTTTTCATGAGATTGCTTCAGCCAAAAGGAATAGATATCCAAATGTTGATTTTATGGTATCAACACATCCAACAAAATTGGAATCTGAATACCCTATCACTTCAAGATCTTCAGATCTTCTATAAGTGAGCATGTGGTTCTTTGTTCCTTGTAGATACTTCAAAACTTTATTTGCAGTTTTTCAATAATATATTCCTGGATTACTTTGATACCTGCCCAGCATCCCAACAATAAAACTAATGACTGGTCTGGTACAAGTCTGAGCATACATTAAGCTTCCAACAATAGATGCATAAGAAATTTCTTTTATTTGTTTACGTTCCAAATCATTCTTTGGACACTGCATAAGGTTGAATTTATCTTCTTTTTGAATAGAAGCAACACTTGCTGAGCACCATATTTAATCTCTTAAAAACTCTTTCGATATATGTTTTCTAAGACAACCCTAACAATCATTGCGATCTATCACGAAATATTTCAATTCTAATCACATAGGATGCCTCACTCATATCTTTCATTTTAAAGTTCTTAGAGAAAATTCCTGGTTTTATATAATAAATTAAGATCATTAGTAGCCAACAAGATGTCATCAACATATAGAATGAGAAATATGATCTTGCTTCCACTGACCTTTAGATATATACACTGATCAACAGTGTTTTCTTTAAATCCAAAGGACATGATGGTATCATTGAACTTAAGATACCATTGTCGGGAAGTTTTTTTAAGTCCGTATATTGATTTCTTAAGTTTACACACAATGTGTTCCTTTCCCTCAACCTAAAATCCTTCAGATTACTCAGGTAGACCTCTTAATCTAAATTCTCATTCAGAAAGACAGTTTTCACATCCATTTGATGTAACTCCAAATCAAAATGAGCTACTAGTGTCATGATAATTTTAAATGAATCTTTCTTAGAAACCGGAGAAAATGTTTCTTTATAGTCGATGCCATCTTTTTGAGTGAAACCTTTGGCAACAAGTCTGGCTTTATATCGTTCTATATCGTTCAATATTGTGATTTGAGTCAAACTTAATCTTAAAGACCCATTTACACAGGCAATTCAACGACGTCCCCAACTTTTTTACAACCTTCAGGCAATTCAACGACGTCCCAAACTTTGTTGTGATCTATCGATTTCAACTCATCCTTCATTGCATCTAATCCTTTAGAAGAATTTGCACTTTTTATAGCTTGTGAAATTGAAAGTGGATCTTCGTTGACTCCCAAGTCAAATTCAGACTCGTGTAGACAAACCACATAATCATCAGAAATAGCAGACCATTAAAATAGCAGACCGTTTTTGTTTTTGAGACTTTCTAGGTGCTACTTCATGTGGTTCATCTAATGCAGGTTCATTAGTGACAGTTTCATTGTGAGGTATTTGATCATATATCTGTTGTTCTTGTAAGTTGTCAAACTGTTTAACAACTGTAGAAATAACAACTTGAGAAGAAATTTTGGGTAAAAGAATTTGAACCCTAATTTCTTGAATCTCCACTTTACGTGGTTCCAAACTCCCACTAACTTTACCATTTTCAATGAACTTGACATTTTCTGCTTCAATAATTTTTGTATTGCGGTTAGGACAATAAAATCTATACCCTTTAGATTTTTAATTTTTGTACTGCGGTTAGGACAATAAAATCTATACCTTTTAGATTTTTCTGGATAATCAATGAAGAAATCACTGGTTGTTCTTGAGTCCAGTTTCTTTTCATGTGGATTATATAACCTTATTTCCGCTGGACAACCCCAAACACGCAGGTGCCTTAAACTAGGTTTCCTTCCTGTCCATAGTTCAAAATGAGTCTTTGGAACTGCCTTAATAGGAATCCTATTTAACAAATATGCAGCGATCTTTAAAGCATGCATCCACAATGTGAGGGTAAAGAAGAATTACTCATCATACTCCTAACTATTTCCATTAGAGTACAATTTCGCCTTTCTGCAACATCATTTTGTTGTGGTGTTTCTGACATAGTGTATTGAGCATATATGTCATTAGTTTGGAGGAATTTAGCAAATGAACCTGAATATTGTCCAGATTCATTGTAACTTCCATAATATTCACCGCCTCTATCAGACCTGATAATTTTCACTTTTCTGTCTGATTGTATCTCAACCTCAGTTATATACACCTTTAAGACATCTATAGCTTGAGATTTTTGATGCAATAAGTAGACATACCCATAACGTGAAAAATTATCAATAAAGGTGATAAAATATTTCTCTCCACCAAAAGATGAAACATCAAAATGTCCACAAATATCAGTGTGTATAATTTCAAGGAGCTGTGTGCTTCTTATGGCGGCTTTCTTAAGTGTGTGATTTGTGTGCTTTCCTTTAATACAATTCACATAGATGCCAAGATCAGTAAAATCCAATTCATTAAGGATTTCATTCTTTACTATTTTTTTAATTTTTTCTTTGAATATATGACCCAAACGTTTATGCCACAAATAAGCTGAAAATTTTGTTTAGAAAATCACGTTTAGTACCAATGTTATGATGCAAAGTCATTAGAGTCTCCACGAAAAGGTTATCGAGTTTAAGTTTATATAGGCCATCACAAAGAATATCAGAATCTATGAGATGATTGTGTTTAAACAAACTGAAACAAATTTAAAGGAGGACCCAATAGAGTCAAGTTTAGACAATGAAATTAAATTTCGAGAAACAGAAGTGACGTAAAGTGTTTGAAAAAGGTCTAAATGATGTCTAGTATCTAAAATCAACCGATAGGTTCCAATAGCTTCAACTGGTGCTTTGACTCAGTTTTTTTATGAGTTTATGATTTGAGTTGTAAGGAATCTCTGCATCGTATTAGAAACATGAGTGGTACAACCAGAATCAATGTACAACCAGAATCAATACACCAGGTATTATAAGGAATTTTTTCCAAATTTGATTCGAAACATACAGAAACATAAGGTTTACTTTTCTTTTCGAATCAGTCTTTGCGCTTTTGACACTCATTTTGATAGTGTAAAAGCTTTCTGCAAAAGTGACATTTAATTCCTTTATGTTGTTATTTGTGAATTGGGGCAGACGACACATTAATCTTTAGTGGTCCTTGCTTGCCTTTTCCATTCTTCTTTTCAGGTTTTCTTACAACTCTTCTTTGATGACCCATGAGATTAATGAAATGATTTGTTCTTTTCTTAAGTCTTGCTTTCTCTTGATTGAGCATACATTGTGGTTCTTTCACATTCCACTTATCTTTTATAGTGTTGTAATTCATGTGAAATGGACCATACTCAGGAGGC